TATATATATATATATAAATATATAGTAACTATGCCATTTTTAACTTTTGCCCATTTTGTAAATCCACCTTACTGAAAAGGTGATTTGTTTAGTTTAGGCATTGACCATTTAAACTTTTTATTTGTTTTGGTATATTTCTAATTCTGCATGCAGATCTTTAAGTGTACTTTTGTCTGTAAAAACCTACATTTAGTTTTTTTAAAATTTGTATATGGCCTTGCAATTTATGTTACAGCTTGTATAAAGTATATATTCACTAATATAGTATCTATTTTTACTCAGGTATTGCTTTTTATTGTTAAAAGCCTAAAATAGGGTTACATTGATTTTTTTCAGATGGAAGCTCTGGGGTAGAAGAAAGTCAGTTTACTGAGGTATTAAATAATAAAATACAACAGCTTCATGAACACATAAAAAAGAGTAATACTTTTACAGATATTATTCAGCAGTTTCCATTTAACATTTTTCAGGACATTCAAACTGTCCCAATTAAATGGAGATTTCTCACTTGTTGCCTCATTTTTATTAAGCTTCTTCAAAGAGCATTAAATACAGCATCACAGAAAGATTCCAAAACAAGCAGCAATTTCAAGTCTTCAGAGAACCAAAAGAATATTTCTTGTGGTCCTCATGATACATTAAGTGTTAGCCAACATAAAACTGTAGCTCGATGTGTCCAGTTTATATGCGGACTGGGAATAATTCCAAGCCTTCTCAGAGGTGTAGGAATCCCTTTAGAAAGAAGAACAGGATTTAGCCAGCTTCTTATAGAATCTACAGAGGTTTGGCCACCATGGAAAAAACATAGACGCTTAGTTGCTTGTGTCATCATATTAATAGATTGTTTAAGTAACTCAACTTTGGGTTCTATGATTCTAAGCCAACATGCTGGAGATCTCCTTGCTGCGCTCATCCAGTTGTGTTATGCACCAATCAAAAAGGTATATATTATCAAATTATTTAATATATTTAGTGCCCAGTTTTTGTTTACTTAAAAATATTGATACTTTAGTTTAGATACATAATAAAGACATTTACAATGAAATGAAAACTTTAAGTGATAGATTGTATATTTAGAGGAGCATTTTTTTGTTTTTAAAACATTCTGGATACATACCATTGTAAGATGTATTTTGAATGCTGTAATTTGTTTTTAGCTAGATGAAGCCATGGGTGATTGATGATAACATTAAGTTTGGAAAGTTAAAATAGGCCTAGAACTTCCAGAAAACTAAAGATGTGTGACATAAAATGTTTCAGCACTTTTGAAATGAGATTATAAATAAAACATTTTGTAAAGTATAGAGTTAGTTAAGTTGAAAAGTTAGTTGAAATAAGAGTTATTGCACTGCTATGTACAACTAAATGGATTTATTGTACGTCAGTTCTAGCACTGTTGTTAGTGAGATATAACGTCATTTGTAGGCCCTAACAATATACAACATTTTACAGCAGTTACAGTGTGAATGCCTTTCCAAACTAATAAAGCATGATTATAATTAATTATGCTTGTCATTAGGCATTTGTATTTAGCTTATTATATTTTTAACACTGCATTCTTTATCTAGTCCCTTAGGAATTTTAAAAAATTAAGAGCATATAATAATACTATTCCAACAACCATACTATGTTTGCCACATCAATTGCCAATGGCTTGTTTTACTCAATTCAGAGCTCAACAGGTTGGCTGGGACAAAAAAAACATTTGTGGTTAGAACACTGTTTATGTAAGTCATTTGTTACAAAAATAATTGTTGTTTTGTGAACATCTTTTCCAAGCTGACTAGATAAAGAATGCATTGTTAAAAAAAAAAAATAGACATAGTACTAATGTCTTATAACAAGTGTAATTTTACAGCAGTGTTCAGCTCCAAGCTTGTAGAAATGTTTAAAGGAGGAAATGAGCTGATTTCATTTAGTTGACTGGATCTTGAATTGTTTTCACCGGATAATTCAAAAGAACCAATTAAGGAAGCATAACATTATAACAGTATAAACTTAATGCAAATACCTTCTGATTTTCTGATTATCATTATTATGATTTCTGTGTACTTGAATTCTGATAAGATGCATTTTCTATTTTGGGATTAGTAAGTCTAATACATGACCATTCTGTTATATATATATATTATATATATATATTTATTT